GCAATATCCTTTTAGGTTTATTCTGTTTCTCCTAGAACTCTTCAGCTCTTAATGCAAGAAAATTGAATCAATTATTCATTCATTTATTCAACAACTATTTACTGATAATAGATAAGCAAGAAAGAATAAGAAGTTCAACAGTAAAATAGGGTTTTTCAAAAATATTGAGTGAAAAGAGCAAATGCAAAGAAGATACATACAAATATAATGCCATTTCATAAATTCATGAGTTGTGTCTGTAATGTTTCTTTAAATAAAAAACAAAGAAGTATGGTAAAATGTTAACATCTGTTAGGTCTGAGTATCTAAGTGTCTATATTTGGGTGTCTGTTATACTTTTTTCTAAACATTGTATATTTGAAATATTTTATACTTAGGCATTTTTAATTTTTAAATTAATAAAACAAGCAATATGATAGGAAGTGATAGGGACTATTTTAGATTGGTCGATTAGGGAGGATCTTTCTAGGGAGGTGACACTGAGGTCTGAATAACGGTACCTAGATCCAAACCCACCCCCTCCCCCAAGGTGGTGTTAGTGGTATTGGTAGTGGTAATACTGATAATTTTTTTAAAGATTTTATTTATTTATTCATGAGAGACAGAGAGAGAGAGAGAAGCAGAGGGAGAAGCAGGCTCCCAAGGAGCAGGGAGCCCGATGTGGGACTCGATCCCAGGACCCTGGGATCATGACCTGACCTGAAGGCAGACGCTTAACCATCTGAGCCACCCAGGCGCCCCTGATAATTTTTATATAACATCTGTTGAATATGTATTTTATTTGCCAGGCGTTGTGCTGAACACATTATTTCAGTTGATCCTTCTAACAACTCTTGAGTTGATACTCATTTTTTCTTTTAAGGATGAAAAGACAGACGCTTAAAAAGCTATCATTAAAGCAACAACAACAAAAAAGCATTTCACTCTAAGAATGCAAATGTGAATTTCTGAGGTAGGCTGGAATATTCATTGGTAAAAGCAATTTTTACTCACAGAAAAAAATGAAGAGAAAGTATTCAGGGAGAGAAACAGCTATTGCTACAGACCTGAGGCAGACGCAAGCATAACATGTTCAAGGAAAGAAGGACAGCTTAGCCTATGCTATTGTTGCCACAGCATAACTGGTAAATGGTCATTTACTCCCTGAATACTTAGGATGAAGGAAGCTCACCACTTTCAGACTTATCTTATTCTTACACAGGTTTTTTTTTTTCCATGTAGGACTTACAGACTAATGGGGTCATATTAAAAGGACACAGAAGCTGGCTTAAGGGTTTCTCAGTGGCCAAGTTGGGGACAGTGTGAGCACCAGTAAGAACCATGAAGTGATGGATTATAATATATGTCTTTAAAAATCATAATTTCTTAGTGAAACTCAGAGAGAAAGGAAGAAGCTTCTCTTTATAGAAGAATGCCAGATGAGGTAGGAAGAATGATAGAATTAGAAAATGTCTGGCAAATCCCAATGTAATTTTGATTCAGGCAAGAGATACTCCATGGATGCTAAAATTTTGGGATGAAAGGTTGTTAGAGGATAAGATATTCATACAGTTTCAATGTATCACTCCATGATTACTTACTAACTATAAAGGAAGGAATGTACCTTTAAAATGGAGAGATCTGTCAGTTACTGCCTTAACCCAGTGATCAGACTTGGTATTATGTGTTTCCTTGTGTGATACAGTAAGTACCCAGCATCACCTACACAGTATCCCTGCCAGAAATGTTAAACTGGAACCTAATCATGAGGGAAACATTAGAAAAATCCAGAATGTGGGGCAATTTATGAGACAACTAGACTGGATTTGTCAAAAATTCAGTGTCATGAAAACAAGATTGCGAGGTGCTCTATGCCAAAGTATTTAGGAATGAAGTGATATTTTTTCTGCAGCTAACTTTCAAATAGTTCATCAAAAAATAATGTGTGTATATGTATGTTTAGAGAGAGAGAGAGAAAGCAAATAATAGTTGGTGAACCTAGGAAGTGAAAAGTTGTGTGTGTGTGTGTGTTCATTGTACTATTCTGAAAAACTTACAGATTTTTAAATATTCAGAATTATAAACTGAAGAGGATACTTACTCTGTTTTGAACTCAAATCCAACTTTTTAATATTTTTGCCCATTGATTTAATTGTGCTATTTGAAGCCACTTTAATAGATCCAAATCCCCCCCGCCCCCAATTTCGTGTTAGTGCTATTGGCAGTGGTGATACTGATAATTTTTACATTACATCTGTTGAATATTGCATTTTATATGCCAGGCCTTGTGCTGAACATGTTATCTCAGTTGATTCTTCTAACGGCTCTTGAATTGGTACTCATTTCTTCTTTTTAAAGATGAAAAGACAGATGCTTAAAAAGCTATCATTAAAGAAACAACAAAAAAAGCATTTCATCCTAAGAATGAAAATGTGAATTTGTGACGTAGGCTAGACTATTCATTGGTAAAAGCGAGTTAGAAAAATTTGTGATAAAGTCACTAGGCATGCATATTTTTCTGGCCTTGAACTTGTTCTACATACAGCCTGCCATTAAGAAGCAATCTTTGAAGTCTGAGCCCCACATGGGTGTAGAGATTACTTAAAAATAAAATATATATTTTTTAAGATTTTATTTATTTATTTGACACAGAGAGAGCACAAGCAGGGGGAGCGGCAGGCAGAAGGAGAGGGAGAAGCAGGCTCCCTGCAGAGCAGAGAGCTGGACGTGGGGCTCGATCCCAGGACCCTGGGATCATGACCTGAGCTGAAGACAGATGCTTAACCAACTGAGCCACCCAGGCGCCCCCAAAATAAAATATTTTAAAAAGGAAAAAAAAAAAAGAGGCAATCTAGCGTGGTAGTAAAGAGCACACAGTCCTTGAAGCTAGAATGCCTAGGGTCACATTCCAGCTCCGCATTTACAAGTTACTGCTGCTTAAGAAGCACTTCTCCAGAATTTCATATTGGGAACCCCTATGTATTGGTTTTGTATTGTTGCTGTAACAGATTACTACAAACTTGGTGGCTTGAAACAACACAAATTTATTATAATTTTGAGGGGTCAGAAGTCCAAAATAGGTCTTGGTGAAAATCAAAGTATTAGCAGGACTGGCATTTTCATCTGGAGGCTCTAAAGTTCCTACAGGCCGCCCACTTATTGACCTTCTTCCCCCAAACCAACATTATATTTTTCTGTGCCTTTCTTCCATAGTAACATCTCTCTCTGACTCTTATCATGTTCTGCCTCCTCCTTCTTCTTTTAAGAACAATGGTGATTACATTAGATCCACCCAGATAATCCAGAATAATCTCCCTATTTTAAGATCAACTGATAAGCACAACTCAACACAAACCCCAAATAATACAATTAAAATGGGCAGAGGACCTGAATAGGCAGTTTTGCAAAGACATATAGATGGCAAACAGATAAGAGGAAAAGGTGCTCAACATCACTCATCATCAGGGAAGTACAAATCAAAACCACAATGACATATTACCTTACATCTGTCAGAATGGCTAGAGTCAAAAAGACAAGAAATAATAAGTGTTGGTGAGGCTATGGAGAAAAAGGAACCCTCATGCACTTTTTTTTTTTTTTTTTTTAAGGATTTTATTTATTTATTTCAGAGAGAGAGAGAATGAGAGATAGAAAGCACGAGAGGGAAGAGGGTCAGAGGGAGAAGCAGACTCCCTTGCCGAGTAGGGAGCCCGATGCGGGACTCGATCCCGGGACTCCAGGATCATGACCTGAGCCGAAGGCAGTCGCCCAACCAACTGAGCCACCCAGGCGCCCCCATGCACTGTTGATGAGAATGTAAATTGGTACAGCCATTGTAGAAAATAGTATGGAGGTTTCTTTAAAAATAGAAATACCATATGATCCAATAATTCTATTACTGGGTATTTACCCAAAGAAAATGAAAACACTTCATTCAAAAAGATAATATGCACCCCTATATTTGTTACAACATTATTTACAATAGCCAAGATATAGAAGCAAGTGTCCACTGATAAATAAATGGATAAAGAAGTCACACACACACACACACACACACACACAGGAATATTACTCAGCCACACAAAAAAGAAAGATCTTGCCATTCATGACAACATGGATGGACCTAGAAAGTATTGTGCTAAGTGAAATAGGTCAGACAGAGAAAGACAAATACCATTTGATTTACCTTATATGTGGCATTTAAAAAACAAAAAGCAGATACAGACATAAATACACAGAACAAACTGATAGCTGCGGGAGGGGAAGGATCTGGGAGATGGGCAAAATGATGGAGGGGAGTGGGAAATACAGGCTTCCAGTTATGGAATGAATAAATGATGGAGGTAAAAAGTCCAGCATAGGGAATATAGTCAGTGGTATTGAAATAGCATGGTATGGTGACAGATGGTAGCTACACTTGTGGTGAGCATAATATAACATAGACTTGTGGAATCACTGTTGTACACCTGAAATTAATGTAACATTGTGTGTCAACTATACTTCAATAATAAAAATTTTTTTTTTAAAGATCAACTAGTAAGCTACCTCAATTCTTCTTTGCATGTAACCTAACATTCACAGGTTCCAAGGATTAAGGCATAGACATCTTTGGGGGATGATTTTTCTGCATTCACATCCACGTTTTAAATTCTAAAAGTTGCATCAGGCAGCTGGGGCCGGGAGAAGATGATTCCGAAGTAGAGATACTGGCTAATGCTGAGAATTATGAGTAGGACCAATAATTGGGTGTAAGCTAAAAGGAACTACTGAGCAGTATATGTACATGTTTTAAAATTCTCTTACTGGCATAAGGTATATACGGTAGATTCAGTATTCAAGAGTGATTGAATTAGAAGGAAGCGACTAAGTTTTAGTTATATGGCAGGGAAAGATTAAAATATTAGAATAGATTTTATTTCTGTTGTTTTGTGCCAGTCCTCAGGAAAATGATCTTGATTCAGTTACAACTTTGGAGAAGCTTTGTGTTTAATTTTAATTTTTGTATTTTTATTACAGATTTTTACGACGCTTGGATGCTACTCCTGACATGGAGAAGATTGAGGAACAGTTTGCTAATTTGAACATTGTTAAACGTTCCTCAGAAACTGAAGAGCCTGCTTACTTGCTTAGTATAGATACATCAAAAGCTGTACGAGGAGAAAAAGAAAACTTGGTTGCTGTTTTATGTTCTAATGGATCAATCAGAATATATGATAAAGAAAGATTAAACATACTACGAGAATTTAGTGGATATCCTGGGCTTCTTAACGGAGTTAAATTTGCAAATTCTTGTGACAGTGTATATTCATCATGTACCGATGGCACTATAAAGTGTTGGGATGTTCGATTAGCCAGTGAAAAACCTGTCCAGCTGTTCAAGGGTTACCCTTCCAATAGTTTTATTAGTTTTGATATCAACTGTAACGATCATGTCATTTGTGCTGGTACAGAAAAAGTGGATGATGATGCATTGTTGGTATTTTGGGATGCAAGAATTAATTCTCAGGATTTGTCTACTACTAAAGACCCACTTGGAGCATATTCAGAGACTCATAGTGATGATGTCACTCAAGTGTGCTTCCATCCCAACAATCCCAACATGGTAGTCTCGGGTTCAACTGATGGCCTGGTAAATGTATTCGATATTAGTGTTGATAATGAAGAAGATGCACTGGTTACAACCTGTAACTCTGTTTCATCAGTAAGCTGTATTGGTTGGTCTGGGAAGGATTATAAACAGATTTACTGCATGACACATGATGAAGGATTTTGTTGGTGGGATCTTAATCATCTGGATACTGATGAACCAATTACATGTTTGAACATCCAGGATGTCAGAGAAGTAGTTAATCTGAAAGAAGGTATTTTGGACTATTTAATTGGTGGCCTATATCATGAAAAAATGGACAAATTGTTTGTTGTTGGAGGAACAAACACAGGAATTATTCACTTGATGAGCTGTACTATATCAGGATTGATCCATGTGACCAGCCTTCGTGGAGGGCATGCTGCTACAGTCCGTTCTTTCTCTTGGAATATGCAGGATGATTCTTTGCTAACTGGAGGAGAAGATGCACAGTTGTTACTTTGGAAACCTGGAGCAATAGGGAAGACATTTACAAAGAAAGACAGCATGAAAATAGCATCCTCTGTGTCCCAGCGAGTTCGAGTTCACAGTAATGATTCTTACAAGAGAAGGAAAAAGCAGTGATGTTATGTTGGGAGTTTACTTGAGAGGCTTTATAGTTACAAGTAGTTATTTTTGTGTACTACCTGTGATAGATATGTTTAAAGCTCATATGTAAAAACAAGCCAGTTAGCAAACAATCCTGGAAAAATGTTGAAAATGGTTTAATTCAGGTCTTCATGTATTCTAAAATTATTTTTTTTAAAGCTGCCAGTTGAGTATATAATCAGTGAGTTGAAAGTAAAATTACATTCCTCATTTTTAAAACCCATCTGTTGAGTTAGTAAATGTTGGGTTTAAAGAAATAGCTTTGATAAGGACTTTTTAGAAGTAGATGGCTGGTGTGACTTTAAAAAAATCAGGTGGTTTGAGCTATGTGTTTTAAATTCAGTTTTTTTTTTTACATTTTAAATCATCTTCATTATTTATAAAATCAAATCAGACTGTTTTCTGTAGGAGCTCCCACTTGCTTAATACACATAGATTATGTTGGAGTATTTAAATGTAAATATTCTAATGATTCTAAATAGAACTAAAGTTTTTTAGAAATAAAATGATTTGCATCTATTTAAGAAAAATATATTTAGTATATTTGCATCTATCTGTCTGGATAGATTTTTTTTTAAGTAGGGTCCACGCTCAGTGTGGAGCCCATTGTGCGGGACTTGAACTCACAACCCTGAGACCATACCTTGAGCTGAGATCAAGAGTCAGATGCTTAATGGACTGTGCCACCCAGGCACCCCTGTTTGCATCTATACTTCTAAACAGTTAAAAATAAGCAGATATTTCACTGATGAAAAGGAAATTATCTTGCAAAATTCATTTTGAGATTTGAAGGGAATATACAAAAACAAAAGTATTTATAATAGCAGAATGACTTTTTATTTATTGTACTATTTTATGATAAAATTTTCTTTCATAGTGTTTCATCCATAATTTTAAACTTTGGTGCCCATGGGGAGTGGGGGCCATGCAGGAGGTGCTGCTGGAGAAAGGAGGACACCATAATTTTAAACTTGAATTTTTGTTGACTGATGGTTTTTTCATCCTTACTGTTAAATATTTTTCCAAAGAGTCTTTTTTTTTTTTTTTAAGATTTTATTTATTTCACAGAGAGAGACACAGAGAGGGAACACAGCATGGGGAGTGAGAGAGGGAGAAGCAGGCTTCCCGTGGAGCAGGGAGTCCGATGTGGGGCTCAATCCCAGGACCCTGGAATCATGACCTGAGCCAAAGGCAGACACTTAATGACTGAGCCACCCAGGCGCCCCTCCAGAGAATCTTAATTAAAAAGTTGGTCACTTGGGGTGCCTGGTGGCTCAGTCAGTTTAGCATCTGCCTCTCGATGTCTCAAGTTGTGATCTCAGGGTTGTGAGATTGAGCTCCACAATGCTCTATGCTCAGAGCAGAGTCTGCTTGTCCCTCTCCTGCACCTCCCCAACTCCCGCATGTGCTCTCTCTCTCTCTCTTTCTCTCAAATAAATAAGTAAAATCTTTAAAAAAAAAGTTGGTCACTCTGAAGGTTTGGTATGTTTTCTTATGTTTAATTACAAATAAAAATATCTTTTTATAGATAAGAATATTTATAAAGATACTGTAAAACATTTTTTATCTTTTGAACTAAAAATATTGCCATGAAAAATATAAACATTACTTTAGAACCTTTTACATTTCTCTTTAAATGTTAATGACTTATCTCGGACACCATAGCACTAGGGGAAATAGTATTCTACAGCACAATGCAACTTACATGTAGGTATGATCCAGCTTCACTCACTTGAGAGGCAATAATAGTTAAGTCACTGTTAAACATACTCAAAATAAATAATTCTCTTCTTTTTTTAAAGGTTTATTTATTTATTTTAGAGAGAGCATGAGCAGGAGGGGCAGAGGGAGAAGGAGAGAATCTCTAGCAGACAATACTGAGCGGGGAGCCCGAGGCGGGGCTTGATCTCATGACCCTGAGATCATGACCTGAGCCAAACTCTAGTTAGAGGCTTAACCAACTGAGCCACCCAAGTGCCCCTCAAAATACGTAATTCTTATTTGAAAAGATTCACCTATTCTTGCTGTTGTTCAAATCATGAACCTGAGGTTAATTCTGGATTTTTTTCTTTTCTCCTATTTAGTCAATCACCAAGTCCTGTGCCACTCCACCTCCTAGAATCTGTCTGCTGTTCCTTTGCCTTTACCCCCCCGCCACTAGTGCCTTAGATTAGATTTTCATCATTTCTCTCCTAGATTACAGACCCTGGCTCTAATCTGCTCCAATTCATTCTTCCCACTATTTCTAGGCTGAACGTAGAAACAGATTTGATAATGTCTCATGCTGCTTAAAATCTTTGGTACATTTTGATCTTTTGATGGAGCACTATGTAAAAATGAAAAACCATGTTTTTAAGATACTTAGGATATGAGATAATGCTGACTATGTAAGTAGAAAAGCTGTATAAAAAGACTTGGAGACATTGCATTTATAAAACAACAGGAAATGAAACAGTTATCAAAACAGTAAAACTTTAAAAAATATTTAAAATTTAAAAGTAATTAATGGAGGGCACCTAGGTGGATTGGTAGGCTGGGTGTCAGACTCTTGATTTCGGCTAGGGCATGATCTCAGGGTTGTGAGACCAAGCCCTGTGTCGGGCTCCCTGCTGAGTGTTCTTTCTCTCCCTCTCCCTCTGCCCCTTCTGCCCTTCTCTCTCCCTCCTCCTGCCCCCCACCAAAAAAGTAATGAATAGAGTTGGAAGATGCAGGTGAGAAAATACCTTTGAAAATAGACCTCAAAGAGAGAGAGAGTGAGAGAAAAGATTAAAGCCACAGAAGATAAATATAGAGGTCTAATATCAGATTATCGGTTTTTACAATGTGAAAAAAAAATGTAAAGGTTGGAGTTGTAATGAAATAACACTAGAGACTATCCCCAGAACTCCAGTCTTCAGATTGAAAGGCCCAACAGAGTGTCAAGTATAATAAATGAAAAAGACCCACACCAAGGCACAGTACTCTGAAGTGTCAGAACTCCAAGAACAAAGAGAAAATTTTAAAAATTTCCAAAGGAAGGAGGGGGAGGAAGCAATCACTTAGGTGCAAGGATAACATGTGAATTAGACTTTTTTTTTTTAATTTTTATTTTTTAAGATTATTTATTTATTTATTTGAGAGAGAATGAGAGAGAGCACGAGAGGGAAGGGGGTCAGAGGGAGAAGCAGTCTCCCCGCTGAGTAGGGAGCCCGATGCGGGACTCGATCCCGGGACTCCAGGATCATGACCTGAGCCGAAGGCAGTCGCTTAACCACCTGAGCCACCCAGGCGCCCCGTGAATTAGACTCTTCATTAGTAAATCTGGATGACACAAAATGGTGAATCAAAGTTCCAACTTCTGAGGACAATTTCCTCCTATCCAAACTTAAGCTCTCCAAACTCACGAAGCAAATAGATGGCAATAAATTTTTTGAGACATCCCTTGCTCAGTGAACGGTTTTTCCTTGCTCTCTGAAACTCAGGAACCAAATTTATTTCCCTAACAGAATATCCATTGCTAACCACACTCATTAGCCACTGAGGAATTTAAAATTTTGGATTTTAGGAGATAATTGCTTTTCAACCTTTAATTCTATAGGTCTATTGCCCCCACATGTGAGGTTTAAAACTTTACTTTCTATGCAGCTTTTGAAAAAGGATACTGGAGGATGTACTCTACAAAGAAGGAGTAAATCAAGGAAGACAAGAGATACCAGGAATCGGGGCACCAACCTGGCATAGTGGCAGGGTAACAGCTTTGCAGCAGGCCCACAGTATTCAGTCCAGGTTGGAAAAAGAGGACATCAGCTACCAGGAGGGAGATGTCCGGGGAGAAAAGTGAACTTGACAGGTTTCCCAATGCATCTGACCATGTGGAAAGTAGAATAAGTGCCTTAAACCCACCAATTAAAAGAGACCCTCCTATTAAAAATCATCTAAAGACAAAAGTTTTTAAAAGATTAAAAATAGGGATACCTGGATGGCTCAGTTGGTTAAGCATCTGTCTTCGGCTCAGGTCATGATCCCAGTGTCCCAGGATCAAGTCCCACATTGGGCTCCCTGCTCAGCGGGGAGCCTGCTTCTCCCTCTCCCACTCCCCCTGCTTGTGCTCGCTCGCTCTTTCTCTCTCTCTGACAAAATCTTAAAAAAAAATTAAATAAATTCACTTAAAGACCTAGGTTAAAAAAAAGTAAAGGATGAGGAAAGGTATACCAACCCACAGAATGGGAGAAAATATTTGCAAATAATATATCAGATAAGAACTTGCATTCAAAATATATTTTTAAAATGTTACCACTCAATAATAAGAGAAAGCAATTTTTGAAATGATCAAGGATCTGAATAGACATTTCTCCAAAGAAGATACGGAAATGGTTAGTAAACACACAAAGATGCTTAACGTTATCAATCAGGAAAATGCAAACCATACCACAATACCACTTCACACCCACTGGGATGGCTATAATCCAAACAACGTTGGTGAGCTTATGGGGAAATTGAAAGTTTCATACACTGCTCTGCTGTTAGGAATGTAAAATAGTATGGCTACAGTCTGGCCGTTCCTCAGTAGTTGCTGTTTGACCCAGCCGTTCCAATTTAGGAATATGCTGCAGAGAATTGAAAGCATAAGTCCACGCAAGAATTTGTACATGAGTGCTCATAATGGCATCATTCATAATAGCCAAAGGTGGAAATAATCCAAATAACCATCAATTGATGGAGGGGTAAATTATGGTATATCCATAAATGGAATATTATTCAGCCAAAAAAAAGAAGTGCTAATACATGCTCCAACTCAGATGAATCTTGAAAACATGCTATGTAAAAATAGCCACAAAAGACCAAATTGGATGATCCCACGTACATCAAAAGCCCAGAATAGTCATATAGTCTATAAAGAAAAAGAAGAACAACAACAAAAGAACATATATTCGTGGTTACCTAGGGCTGGGAGTTGGGAGGAAAATGGGAGGGTTGGTGGATGTTTGTGGGGGGAGGGTGTGATGCAAACTGATGGTGATTATAGTTGCACAACTCTGAATATAGTAAAAACCATTGTGGGGCACCTGGGTGGCTCAGTCGTTAAATGTCTGCCTTCGGCTCAGGTCATGATCCCAGGGTCCTGGGATCGAGCCCCGCATTGGGCTCCCTGCTCCGCAGGAAGCCTGCTTCTCCCTCTCCCACTCCCCCTGCTTGTGTTCCCGCTCTCGCTGTGTCTCTCTCTGTCAAATAAATAAAATCTTAAAAAAAAAAAATTGTACACTTTATTTCTTTTGTATTGTACACTTAAAATAAATGAATTTTACCCAAATGAAGTTATTACCAAAAAATATATATACCAGACAAATGAATAAAAAAACCAGGGTGGAATTGTTTTTTTTTTTTTAAGATTTTATTTATTTGAGAGAGAGCACAAGTGGGGTCAGGGGCAGAGGGAGAAGCAGACTCTGCTGAGCAGGGAGCCTGACCTGGAGCTCAATCCCAGGACCTTGGGATCATGATG